TAAAAAAAAAGATTTTAAGGTGATATTTATGAATTAATATATATTATTAAAATAATATAATTAACATATGTTAAATGAGGTTGGTTTTATAGATTATTTGTATTTGGTGTTACATCTAATTCTCTGTCATGATTTTTGTGTTATCTTTAAAATTTAGGATGGTTTTCTTGAGAAGCTAAATTCCACGGAATTCATAACACTTTCTAGATTAATGGAAACATTCATTTTAGATACTGAACACATCTGTGGGAGAAAAAGTATGTCATTACTTGGAGCACTTCAGAGCCAAGCTAATAAATTTGTAAACAGGTTTCATGAAGAGAGGAAAACTAAGCTCAGGTATCATTACCATGTTCATTTCTGTTCTTTAGTTTTTTCCCCTTTTTTTTTTTACAAAACATGATTATATTTAATTGAGTAGCTCACCAGAACCCCTGAAAAACTTTTTTCTTTTTCGTTAAAGGCAGATTGTGGAATTAAAATCAGTTTCTTGGCTTTTCAAAGTGGAGTTAGAATGTTTATTTTCATTAAAGTACTTATCAGGAAGATCCTCAATAGATTGGCTTTTCCTTTTCCACTCAACATGAGGTTAATTAATGTTTCACTACTCTTCTTGGTTAGGCTAAGAAATATAAAAAGAAAAATATTTTCTGGAAGTACTCATACCGAGTGATTATTAAATTACGAAGGATTTCAATTTATTAAGGTGTACATTTATTTTAAAAATCTTAGTACTAACAACAGCTAGTGGCCATTACTGTGTAAAAAGACAATGCCTTGTATTACATGAGGTCTACTTGAATTTAACTAAGATACATGTAGTGTCTTTATTTTTACTAAAAGATGACAAGAAAAGTCTTACATACTCACTCAGCTCTTCCTTTTCTTTTCAACCAAAGAAGATGGTGTTGAAATATTGTTAAAGCTTATCTTCCCTTTTTCCCTCCCTTTTGAATAGCCTCCTCTTAGATAATGAGCGCTGGAAGCAAGCTGATGTTCCTGCAGAATTTCAGGATCTTGTTGATTCTATATCAGATGGAAAGATTGCTTTACCTGAAAAAAAATCAGGGGGTATGTGTATTCTTTCACATACTTTCTTCCAGTTTTATACTGTTTATTCATTTTATAGGAATGCTTAACATTTCTTTAATTGACAATGCCTCTTGAAAAGCCTAGAACTAAAAAAAAAAAAAAAATGCCAGCTTAGTTAGTAAGTAATTGACTGGAAAAGTTATCTGTGGTAATTTGTAATAATTTCAGATATTTATTGAATGTTAACTATATGCCACTTACTGGGCCAGGTGCTTTTACATGCATTATTCCAGTTTATCTGCACAACAATTTATGATGAAGATGCTATTGTTAACCTTGTTTTAACAGTGAAGAGGCATAAAGCTTCCAAGGATTAAGGAATTTTGTACAAATGATGAGCTGAGATTTGAAACTGGCTTTATATAATTTCATGGCTTTGTTCACTGTACCATGTTGTTTAAAGACATGTATTCATTTACTGAACACTAGTAAGCTTCTACTATGTGTCAGATATTGAGACAGAGATAACAGTTATAATACTCCTTTAAAAGGGCTAAGTCTAATGAAAAAAAAAATGGATTAGCAATCACAAGTAATGCAGTAGTGATATGATAGAGAAAACCAAAATGTGAAGAACTCTAGAAAAAGAAGACTATAAAGGAGACTCAGAAGGAAGTGCCAGAGAGGTAGGAGGAAATCCAGAAGAACATAGAAGTAAAAAAATTAGTTTCAAGAAGAGAATTATTACTGGTATCAAATATGTCTTGGATTTCATATGAAAGAAATGCAGTGGCTGGAAGATACTTTTGTATGCCAGTTAAATTGGAGCTGTCATGTGATAATAAGGTAAACTTACGTACAACTTACCCTGTAAAACCAGATTTGAAATTATAAGATTGTCAAATAATTTTTTGAAAGTTTTTTATTTTAAGGAGACTCCATGCCCAACATGGGGCTTGAACTCATGACCCTGGGATCAAGAGGCACATGCTCTACTGACTGAGCCAGCCAGGCTCCCCGATTATCAAATATTTTTAATGGAGGAGGCAGATGCATTTTCAAATTTTATGCATTTAATAAAAGTTTAAAATTTTTACATAGAAATATTTTTAAATTGTGTATTTCATATTTACACAAAATGCAAGTGCACTACAAGGGAAAGACTGAGTAAAATTCAAATAGTGACCACTAGTTTGACATGTAGGAGATTATTTGCAATTCTAGTAATTCAGCAGAGTGACAGAGTCATATTATAGTTTAGTACTAAGTAACTTGAAAGATGAGGACTGGTAAACAAATGTAGCCTCCTTTTTCGACAAGTTTGGTTGTGAAGGGAAAGTGAGTGATGAAGTAGCACTAGAAACCTAAGAGAATAATTAGATTATTACTTTAATCCACTCAAGGAATTGAGAGAAAAGTTTTAAGGTAGGAGAAACTGAATTATGTTTTTATGTTTAACAGAAAGAGGAAAAAGATTAAAGAGAGGAGTGACATGGACTGATTGTGAGGCAGGGCCCCTGGAATTAAGTCCAGAGTTGAGATGAAGGGCTATCTCTTCTAACACGGTGACAAGAGAGGAGGGGTTAAGGACAGGTGTGAAATAGATGAATTCATATAGGGCAGAGAGAAGAATTGAATGAATTAAGTAGATTTCTGTTGCCTTGTGACCATTTTTTAGTAGGTGACAGTGTTGGGTGGTGGTCACAATCTTTTGATTGATTGTATTAGCAAAGCAAAAGTATTTAAGTAGCAAAGATTGAAAGAAAAATAAAACTGATTATTTTAAATCACAAGTTTAAAATTATTAAGATTTATTTCTCATTTACTCTTTCAGGCTATATTTGATGACTTCCCACTTTGTGAGGTGCTGTGCTAGATGATTATGACATGTTTTCTGTCCCTGAACAGCTCAGAGTCTTATAATCCACTGTCATGCAAACATAACAATTTTTGAATTAAAATGATAAATATAGAGTGATTGAATTAACTGTTTTTTGTTTGTTTTTGTTTTTGCAAAGTGAACTATTTTCACTTTCTTTTTGGAGGATACTGACAATAAGAGGTTTCTTTTATACACCCTACTTCTGTCCCAGTCTTTTTTTTTTTCCCCTCTGAGTGAGAAGAAAGTACATGCTATTAGAAGTCCATTAACATTTTACTAGTTCTTACCAAGTTAAGGATCTTTGGTTATTATTCATGCATCCACCATCCATTAACGAGTTACTAGCTGCTTGGCTAGGCATGGGGAAATGAAGGTTAATGGATAGCAATTAGAATTAATTGAATGCTTACTTGATGATGGATAGTTTGTTCTAAGCACTTTACATTGTTACCCCATTTATAGGGCCATGAACTAGATACCGTTAGTATTCCTATTTAACAGATACGGAAACTGAGACACAAAAAGATTAGGCAATTTGCCTAAGGTTACAGAGCTAGGAAGTGGTAGAGGTGAGCTCCAAATTCAGGCAGACTGACTTTAGGATCCTTTCTCTACACTACTATGCTCTGCTGATTCTCTCTGTGATGTGGAGAACTGATTAAGACACAATCCCTGTCCTCAAAAATTTAATCTGACATACAGAATGAGTTGTGTTTAGAAATCGTATCACACTGAATTTCTTTCCTTGATAGAAATGAGGAAGTAGCCTGGTGATGGGTATTAAAGAGGGCATGTACTGCATGGAGCACTGGGTGTTATACGCAAACAATGAATCATGGAACACTACATCAAAAACTAATGATGTAATGTATGGTGATTAAGATAACAATTAAAAATAAATAAATAAATAAATAAGAAATGAAGTAGATATTTAATGTCAAGGCAAAGGGACTTGAAGCTTAAGGAAGCATGATGACTTGCCCATGATAATCTAATTGATTTAGATGATTCAGGACAGTAATCCAGTCTACTGTTCTTTTTACTTCAGCATGCTGAATTTTCTTTTATAATGATAAATACACATGCTGAAAATAAAATAATTTCTGGATTAAAATCTTGAAAATTAAAAATATATTATGTATAGGGGTGCCTGGGTGGCTCAGTCGGTTAAGCGTCGGCCTTCAGCTGAGGTCATGATCCCAGGATCCCTGCTCAGTGGGGAGCCTGCTTCTTCCTCTGCCTGATGCTCTGCCTACTTGTGCTCTCTCTGTCAAATAAATAATAAAATCTTTAAAATATATATATATATTATGTATAAATATAAAATATATAATCTCTCCATTGAATATAGGAATTAGCTTGTATTCTAGGAATTATCATAATGACCACCAGTTGAAATTCTAGTTCTGCCTTTCCAAACTAATATTTTTTTCCTTTACTACTTACTGATCACCTACCATGTGCCAGACCTAGGATAGGCAGTTTGTAGTCATGATCTCTGTCATTAACAACAACACTGAGGTGATAGATACTGGAACTCAAATCCAACTTTCTGATTCCAAACCCAGTATACTTCATTCTGTTCCAAATTGCTTCCCAAGAAGTAGATCTTTGTTTTCAGAAATAAGATAGTTTCAGGCCCTACCAGGACCTAAATTGGGCCCTAAAATCTTTTTCAGTTTTTTCCTAGTTTAAATTTTTTCCTCTAATAATTTGTTTCATCTTGTTCCTATGTCTCTCTTGGTTATCTGCTTTACTCTCTAGCTACGGAAGAAAGGAAACCAGCTGAAGTTCTTATTGTCGAGGGACAACAGTATGCTGTCGTTGGGTGAGTGACACATTTTTCTTTATTAGTTGAGTCAGTTATTTAAGCCAGAGGTCTCCTAGTTCCCCCTTGATAGGACTTGGAAATTTTAGATTAACGATTTTAAATCTTACAAATAATTATGATTTCTTTCCTTAACTACCCTTTATCTTGTTATTCTTGCTTGATGGCATTAGTCACCCTCTGGCTTTCTGGTTTTCTGGCTCTTCAGGCAAAAGACCACTCCCAAAAAACTCAACTCCCTGGCTAAGAGGAGAATATTTTATCTTCTGAGAGAAGATTACAAAAGATAAACAGTGAGCCACTACCCAGTAAAGCAGACACTAGACGTATGCATGGACCATAACATATGGTCTGACAATTAAGCTGTTACAGAGGCTAGACATTTACTTTCTTGAATCACTACTTCCTGATATCCTGCAGACTTTTACAAAACATTATTTTACATGAATCACTCATTTCTGAGCATCTCATTGAACTTGGATGTCCCATAATGAATGGCTTTATTCACCTTAATCTCAGTCTTATTTAACCTCCCAGTAGTGTTTCTTTTCAATTTATGACATGTTCAGCTAATGAGCTGGTAACTTTCTCATCGTAGGAGAACCTTGTGACTTACCAAAAAACTTTTTAGGAGATACCATTGTTCTTTAAAGCCACAGTTTCTCTTTCATCTCACTAAGAAAATCAAGACTAGGTTCCCGTCATTAATTCAACAGTTACGATTGAGCACCTACTATATAATCAGAAACACTGGGTAGGCTTTTTGTCAGTGTTTTTGAATTGGCTAAGGAATGGGATACCTGCCTTATATATATATTTTTTAGGGAGGGAGGGGCAAAAAGGGAGGGAGAGAGAGAATCCCAAGCAGACTCCACGCCCCAGGATACCTGCTTAATAGCAGTGTCACACAGAGAGTGATATGCCAAAGCACAAAACTTAAGGAAATACTCTTTCTCAGTGCCATGCAAGTGCTGACCCTGTAGTTGCATGACCCTGAAAATGAGTGCCTCCTTCATTTTGCACCTGAGGAATCTGTCTTGCCTTACCTTAGTCCCTATTCTGCTGCATTTACAGGTAAAACACATAATTTCACAGTTACCAAGATCAGTTTCTTGTCTTGACTTCTTGTTGGGTCATCTTTTCTTACAGAACTGTATTGCTGTTGATAAGAATTATCCTTGAATATTGCCAGTGTGTGGACAATATCCCATCTGTTACTACTGACATGCTTACTCGTCTGTCAGATTTATTGAAGGTGTGTATGATTTCACTCTGTGATGGAAAAATAGTTGAAAGAAGTAATTCATTAGGGTATGACTAATCTTCAAACTAAGACATTTCAAGGTTAAGTTACCTTTAAGACATTAATTTTGTGACATTTGATTGTGGTTGAATCACAACGTGTTACTGGAAGAAGGCCACCTGCTTCCTTCTCACTTTTAGTGATTCCTCATTATACCCATAGAGTTGTTAATGACATTGGAGACAGGAGATGATTTGTTCGTTAGGTGCTGAACATGACTGAGGCCACTTAGGTCAAAAAACCTGGACTGGTTTCAAATGTGCATGGAAGGAATTCACTGAACTTTACAAAATTCATCTCACTAAGGTTAGAGATTTTTCTTAAATCATTCTTTCAGAACCATTGATGTAAAATGAAAATGTGGTGATAATCTTATTCAGCCATTTCATTTTAACAGATATTTTTAACTGCTAGCATAAAGGCTCCAAATGTCTAATCAGTTAATTCTGCTCCCAAATTGAGTTGTCATATTTTAGTCCAGAAAGATTTTGTTACCCTTTTGACAGTAGGACCCTCCAGTAAGAATGACTGAAACTGAACTAGTTTTTTTAATTTAAGTGTAATTAACATATAGTGTATTGTTAGTTTCAGTGAAACTGAACTAGTTTTATGAATGCAGATTAAAGATTAGTTTCTGAACAATTGTTTTTTAGAATTTTACTTTTTTCCTAGCAGACAATAAATATTAACATCATCCTTCCCCTTTTTTTGCCATTACATAAATAGATCCTAATTGCTCCTACTAGAAAATTCATTTGGTCCTTGAATGAGAGGAAAGAGGAGTGTATTTTTAGAACTGTAGACACATGGCGAGCATATATAAAATAGTTTTTAATAAATTGTTGGGCTTTTTTTTCTCCTTCCTTTGTTAGTACTTCAATTCAAGAAGTTGCCAGTTAGTTCTTGGAGCTGGTGCACTGCAAGTTGTTGGACTAAAAACAATAACTACAAAAAATTTGGGTATGGATTCTTGCTTTTAATTCACATGCTGAGGTTTTACAGTGAGGTCGCCATACTTATGTTTTCATTATACCTGATGTTTTTATGACTCTAATTAAGGGCTCTAAAAGTAGCAAATGCTGCTTCACTCTTCTGTGTATTACCATAACTGAAAAATTAACTTCTGGGGAAATGTTACGAAGAATTTCCACCCTAACATATATAAGTTATTTGGAAGTTGCACCACTATAGAAAATGTTAAGATGTAATACGTATGAGGTATCTGAATGTCAGAAGAGAATCAGTTGTCCCATTAGCTTCCTCAGGTTAGGAATACTAACAACTTGAGTTCATTGGGAAGAGCAGCATGTTCACTACATTATTCATTACCGAGTCAGTTTTTTTTTAAAGATTTTTATTTATTTGAGAGACAGCACGCAAGCGGGAAGGGGCAGAGGGGGAGAGAGAGAGAAAGAATCTGAAGCAGACTGCCCTGGGCACAGAGCCCAATGTGGGGCTCAGTCCCATGTCCATGAGATCATGACCTGAGCCAAAACCAAGTCAGATGCCCAACTGACTGAGCCACCCAGGCACTCCCCAAATCATTTTCTTAAACGAAGTGAAATAATGTTGATTTCTGCCAGTGTTTTCTTCATTGTTGAAACAAACTGTATGAAACTGACATTTTTAATTTAATTTGATATTTAATTAAATGCAACTAATAGTGTTTTTTGTTCTTCAGCTCTTTCTTCACGTTGTTTGCAGTTAATTGTGCACTACATTCCTGTGATCAGGGCTCATTTTGAAGCTCGACTGCAGCCTAAGCAATATAGCATGCTTAGGCATTTTGATCATATCACTAAGGTACTTTTCCTTATATTTTCTACTAGAGTTTCATAATTGTTAAGTATTTTTTAGATGTGTCCCAGGGACTTTAAAATATAATGTTCTTTCTCGTTACAGGACTACCATGACCACATAGCTGAAATATCAGCTAAGCTTGTAGCGATAATGGATAGCTTATTTGACAAGTTGTTATCTAAGGTAATGATTTATGGAAATTATTAGGCATTGTTTAAAGGCATTGTGCCTTTTCACAGTTGTCTAACCAGTCAAATTCTTCAGGGTTTAGAAAAACTCAGTAAAATGTTCAGATTGCCCAAATAATGGATAATTATATCCAAAGGGGCTGGAAGGGGGCAGGAGGGAGGTTATTTTAAGAATGATAGAAACCCTATGCAGAAGTAATTTTATATTAGCTGCATTGACAAATATGTGCCTTCTTCAAACTAGGTTTTAGTCTGAAAGTCATCCAGAGACAGAATTGAGAGAACAAAGATCAAAATAGAGAAAAAAGTAGATAAATTATTTGTGGTAAGATACGTTCTTTATTTTCCAGACTGAAATGGCAGAGTCTGAGGTGCTCTATTATTTCCCGTATAGATAATCAATTTCAGTATCTGTTTCTTGTTTGCTTCCCATTCTGAATGGGTCATTAAAAGAAGCAATGGTTTCCAGTGAATCCTCTATTATACTGGAGGGTATCTTTAGAAAAATGTCACTTAACCAGGCCTAGTCACTTTTGCCCTCTTACTTTTTTCATTCCCTAAGTTCAACACCTGTCTTAGGGAGAAAGCAGACATTGGAATTTTGAAGGCTATATGTACATGCCTGAGAGTATATTTAGGGTAATCATCAAACTAGGCACTTTGGTATGCTTTTCTGCCACTTGCATTCTTCAGGATTCTGAGATGGCAGGAGCAGCAAGCACGTGAAAATCATAAAAGTGCAAGGTAAAGCAGTGCCCATTCACAGGTATAGATGTGTGCTTGTACATTTGAAGGTGACAATGAGGAAAAGTCCTTGGAAAATAAGATTGCATTTGTTTAATAGTTCTCAAATGTTTTGGTCAGAGGACCTCTTTACACTCTTAAAAATAATCGCAGACCCCAAAGAACTTTTATTTATGCAAATTGTACCTATCAGTAAGTACCATATTAGAAATTAAAACTAAGAGAAATTTAAAACACAAGAGTACACAAACACACATTCCATTGGCTGTCAGAACGATGACATTGTTCCAAGTCATCTAAAAATCCCCACTCTTCAAACATGAGAAAATGAGAGTGAAAAGTTAATAACATTTTAATATTATTATGAAAATGGTTTTTACTTCACAGATTCCCACAAAGAGTATCTGACTCCCAGGTGTCCCCAGACCACACTTTGAGAATGTCAGGTGTAGTTGATAAATAACATAGATATTTTATGCCCTTAAGAAGCTTAAGGAATTTATAGGTATGTGCAGACATACCTATATTATGCTGTACCTGTTAAATTAGTTTCTAGTTTTGTATGGAGAAAAATGATTGTTTAGGAATTCTCTGTTTTCTTTATGGTTGCCAAGTACAAACTAAATTGAAAAGCATACTGTTTCATCAGTTTTCCTTTTTGATACATGGCATTCTTCTGTCTACCAAAAGTTAATAAATAACATACTGTGACTACTCTAAAGAAGTTTACCATCTATTACAGGAGGGGAGGTGGGTGGGGGATGGGTTAAATGGGTGATGGGGATTAGGAGGGCACTTGTTGTGATGAGCACCAGGTGTTGTATGTAAGTGATAAATCACTAAATTCTACACCTAAGAGGCTAAGAGGTATGTAAACTAATGGAATTTAAATAAATATTTGGAGAGGGCGCCTGGGTGGCTCAGATGGTTAAGCGTCTGCCTTCGGCTCAGGTCATGATCCCGGGGTCCTGGGATCGAGTCCCACATCGGGCTCCCGGC